TTTTGATTATTGACTTTTCTATCTCAGGCAACAGCAATGAAGAAGTCAACGGATATCATTCGTTCAACAAATGTTCATCTATATGTCACACTCTTTAGACCATCAAAAAAAAAGAACGCAACAAAAATCAAAGTCCCACAAAATTTTTAGCACACATCTGATAACAAGTACAGAATTTTTTCTCTCTTTTTCTTCTTCGCATTAATCATATTAAACGAACAGGAAAATCTTTTTCTACGCGGAAAAATTTGGTCGATTTCAAATATATCCGTCGATTGTTTTTTTTAAGAATCCTTTTGTCATTTGATGGAGAGTTTCGAAGAATGGCTGTTAATGAATGTTCCGGCTTTATGGTATTATTGACTGAATGTCGCAATAGCTCATTAAGATGAATTCACTTCGTTGTTCATTTTTCTTGTTTGTGTCAACCGAGTTCATGAGAGACTAGTCGTCATTTCCTTGGTAATCGATGTGAGTCTGATGCAGTTTTGTGTGAGTGAATCGAGCGAACTCAGCATTTTGAGAGCGAGCGCGGTGCGATTGCGATGAATTCGGTGGTGGCAATGAACAGAATGAACTGAGAAATATGAGCTGAACGCAATGAGAACACAACTGAGAAACATTATTAATCATGAAAGGCTCGAGGAGTTTTTGTTTCAGGGAAGTGCTTTCCTGGAAAAAGTGCATTTCTCTCATTCCTCTTACACAAATGAAACAATCGGCCGAAAAAAAAAGAACTATTGAATCAAACAGTGTGACAGTGTTTGCGTGAATGTTGAGTGTGCACGGTGTTTGATCACTTCGAGAAATTTTTTTCCGTAATTTCTGATCCTTTCATTTAACTGACAGAATGTTGGAAAGATGTGAATTCCGATAAAAATGCACTTTAATTCATCTTCTTTAGAGCAGAACTCAACAAAATAAACCGATAAAATTGTATAGTAGTGTAAATTCGACACGACGGTTGCTTACATACAAGCAGCATTCATATTCGAACACTTTCTCATTACAAGAAGCCAATTATTATTCGAAAGTCACTTGAACAAACAGAAAAAGAAAGAAATTTTCAACAAAAAATACGAATGAATCAAAGTGCACTTTTAATCGCTTGCACTCTCAATTGGGAGAAGAAAAAAAGAGAAGATCGCCTGGTTGACATTTAATTATGGGCAGACAGAAACTACAAATATCAACTAGAAATAATAGAATATTAGACTAGAAATATTATGGACTAGAAATATTCTTCTATACGATGAAAATGTCATTTGAACATTTGCGTGACTGTATTATGTGATTGATTCAATTTTTATCTTTCGAGACTTCTTCGCTTTACTATATCAAAAAGCAAATCGGATGAGGATGGACATTATTTAGGCGATAAACAAGTTTTATAGCGTTCCACTTAACTGCACAAATGAATCAGATTGAGGAACTGGAATGATAAGCTCGAAAAATATAACGTTATCATTAATTTTTGTGATGACATCAGTTCCTGACTGGAAAAAAGAAGCATAAATCCTCTAATCTCTCTCCGTTCATATCAGCTTCATTGGAATGAAACAGCCATAAATTTGGGTTTCTTCAAATGTCTTTTTTCATCTCAGCACTAAAGTGCAACAGATAATAAAGCTAAATCAAATACGAATGAATAAATGTGCTTTAATACTAAACAAGAGTCGATCAATCGTAAAAAATCAACGAAGCAGCATGCACTTATTGAACAAATCAAGAATCGAAAACTAACCAAATTCTGTGGTTGTGTCATGAGTTGATTTGTCGCGTTGGATGGATTGGCCGACACGGCAGCTGCAACTGCTAGCTGCTGGGCTAGTGACGATACGGTACAGTCACCTGTAAGTGACGCATTAGACAGGGCAGCTTCTAAACTGGGCGATAGACCACTGGCTGTTGCAGAAGATTGTTGTAGTCGAAGATGTGGTGCCAAAAGGCTATTGACTAGTGCCGTGTTTGTGGCCGATGCGTTCAGATTCGATGGTGCGAGCAGATTGAACGGCGTCTGAACCAAACCGGCTGCAGCGGCAGCCATTTGCATTTGCAGTAACATCATGTCGAGTGATGGGGTTGTTGTTGTGGTGGTGGTCGTGGTGGAGGGTGAAGATGACGGTGGGGCAGCGTATTGCTGCGTTGGACGTGACGGCGCCGTTGAGGTGATCGGATTACCGATCGCGCGAATCGGTGAGAACGCCGACGAAGTTTGTCGTGATGAGGCGGCAACGTTCGCCGCCGGGCACACAGCCATCGACGGGGACGCCGAACACGACGCCGAAGAGCAAACCGAAACAGACGACGATGCAGCGTCTGGTGGTGGTTGTTGTTGTAGGAGTGCGGCAGCGGACAGCAATGAATTCGGTGAAATATTTGCGCCGGATTGTGCGGCCAATAAACTGGCTTGAGCGGCCAGAAGACGTTCGGTTGCTTCGGCGGATGTTAACGATTGCGATAGACCGGCATTTGAAGAGGAATTAAGTAGTGGAAATGCTGCATAGGCGCTCATTTCCGAGAGTTGTTGCTGGCGTTGCAACTGGTTTTGGGTTTGCAGGGCCAGATAGGCGGCCTGAAGAGCGTTATTGGCGTCGACGGCCGATGAGACTGAAGCGGCCGACATATACGCATCAGAAGGAATACCGCCGCCCTCACAAACAGTGGTTGTGGCCGGTGAAACACCACTCGCTGCAGTGTTTAGGACTACTGACGGACTTGACGATCGAATAGTCATTGGGTTGTTGGAATTTGCATGACGAGCCGATAAATGATGAATATTCGATGTTGTATTCATTAAATCAACTTGAGCCGGCAGCCAATCAGATCAATCGAATCGTACGGGAATACAGCAGATGCGATTGAATCGAAACGGAGCGGATCGGATCGGCTTACTGAATACGAACGATTCGTCTCGGTGAATACAATAAATGACGACTGCGGCGTAATTTGGCGTGAACAAATAGTGATTCGCCGAAGAATCGTGATTTTATTGCTCTCGGTTGAATCTGAAGAAATGTCAATCCTGCAAAGATATAAATCAACGTAATTAAACGAATTAGGTGATAAATTTTATCGAAGTGAACGCTAAAAGTGCAAAACGCAAAAAATGCAAAAGTTCATTTTGGTGTTTTTCACACTATTCTTGTGCCGCCGCACACAGTCATTGTGAGGAACTGCTGATCAATTAATTGCTTGAGTCGTATTATCTGATTAAAGTTCACACAAATAGATGAACGTAAGCGTACAACAACAAAGATTCATTCATTTAAACACGACCACTTTAAGGCTAGTTCTATCGTCTTAATGCTTAATCATCTGATTCATTAGGAGACTGCAACTATTGCTATTTTAACGCAAACCTCGTGCTTAAATCACTCATCAGATCAAATCAATCACGATAATTAATCGATTTCGTTTTTCTGTTACTAAAACAAGTATGCACAAAACAACAACGAAAATCTATACGAATTATGATTCATTCAAGATCTTGTACAAAAAACTTTCAAAATTTTCAATATCTTTTAGTGTTGGTGCAAATTTTTAATTATCGTCGATTTTTCCACTTTAAGCTTTTTTTTTGCCGTTTCTTCTAAGACCACTGTCGTTAAGTGATCTCCCTTCTAGATGCATAATCTTCGACTTTTTCCGTCTAATTCTTGATGTGTAAGCTGATTCAGAGAAGTTTTTTGCTCTTACAAATAGTGCATTCAACATTTCAATTTTTGAGGAGCTTTTTAATTAGTGAAGAGTGAGTGCTTTTTTTTNTGTGTTATTTGGTGCATTGTTCGGTATGTTCGTTTGTCTAAACGGATATTGGCACATTACAGAAGGGTGAATCATGAGAGTCATTGAATCAGGGAGGAAGAAATTAACGGTAGCTTGGATACTGTGTTGAGACAATTTTGTTCCGGATGAGCTTTAGGTGATTATTACTGATCGACTAGGAAATTAGTTGGCTTCGATTGAACCGCTAATGAAACAGTACCTTTTTGAATGACGGATGATTGAATTTCTAAAACGGATGAATGTATGTGAAGGAATATAGAGGCTGATTGAGGCTAAAAGTTCATTGAATGTAAGATACTACGGATAGTACGAGTTGAATGATGTCAATTATATACACCTAAGGGCTATTTAGAATCGAATGAGACATTCGGTATATAATCTAGCTATGTGCGAATGCTGCGTCAAACTTAAGCAATTCTAAAAGAGCTGTCTACTGCGAGGCATGTGAAAATTTTGCGAAACATTAGCAAAATAAGTGAATATAATGTGCATTCATATATACATACATACACACACATATATACATCTTTTTCAAGTCGATAGAACATTAGATGAGAATAGAAGTTTTTAAAAGAGTGGAATGCGATGGTAACAGAATGTAATACCAACTGCAACATGTAGTGGTGGTTCAGTACAGTGTTGAAATGGAATAACTAGCTGTTAATATAAGCAGAATTCGTTATCCCTTCTCCATTCATTCATTCATTCATTCATTTATTTGCTCATTCCGTCCACGTGTAATAAACACGTATGATATCATACGCATTACCACATAATCGCAAGGAAGATATTGAGTGGATATCACGTTTGGATGCTCACAAGTAAGCTTATTGTTGGCTGATGGTTAGAATGGTGTGCGTGAAACGAATGACGACACATTAATAGAAGTGAGAAGCGGCGATTGCGTTGCATCAAACTTTGACTATGTTGCAAAATTATTTATCAATTCATCGAATATTGCTCACATTTGCACACGGATTACGTGTAATCCATGTGCAAATGTAAACGAAAAGCATCACCGGTTAATATATTCATTGATAACACGAAACCTGTGGCGCATATCAGCAGGAATGGTAGGTATATTTTTGAGGCAAGCAAACAGCCTTCCCTTTCCGAGAGAGAGAGATGGACTCGAGCGACGGGGTTTCACCACGACGTCAACTGCTTGAGACTGAGAAGCGCATCGTTGGAATAATGTACGTACGTACACACCTCCTGATTACTAACTACTACTACTACTACCACTACCTATGACTGCAACTACTCAATAACTTCTTCAAGTCGTCAGTCAGTAGCACCAGCAACAGCAATTCTTCAGTTGTTGAGCTCACTGCCCGCCCGCCCGCCTCCTCGTTCCTTTCGATCCATCAACAGAACAATCTTTCTATTGCACACTCGTTCTCAGTCATTTCGTTATGCAAACGAATGGCCGCCGCATCGAAAAGTTGATAGCAGCAAGCAGTCGTCAGTAGTTTTATGTCGTTGTCAACATAAAGTTCATCGAAAGTGCATTCAGTCAACGTGATCTTCGGTTAAAAGTCTAACGCATACTCACTGAATGAATTTAATCCCGCAACAGTGCATCTATACCAATTGATGCATTCATCTAATGGACACACACACACAC